GTGCTGTCTGATAAGTAGTAAATGTCAGGCTTGATAGGATCATGTGAGGGCCCATATGAAAAATCAACAGATTCCCCAAATGAACCGTCAGTTGTTTGACAGACTTCTTGAATGTACAACAAAATGACTCTACTATGATTTGATTTGATATTTCAACATATATGTGTTGTCATCAATCATGACAGATCTACCAACATGCAAAATTCTTTACTTTTGATTTCTTTACAGTACCACCACCACCAGTTCCTGATAGAAAAGAGATGAACTGCTATTTATTGTTCATGGTTGTTGCAATGAGATCTTGTATGTAGTACTCCTTGTTGCACCAATCACCAATCTTCCCTTGGAGTCCCTCCTTTTTTTATCAAGAATCAGGCAAAGAATGCACATATTTTCTTAGTGTCAAAACAAAAGCAGCAACAATCTAGCCATGCATTTTCCTGTTCCCTACCATTTTGAGTACTCAACTTTGCAACAACAAAGTACTAATAAAAAAATCTTAAAGTTATCATGTTTGAACTTCTAGGGGGAACCTCCCTCATAGGAGATGTGATGGAGGCACAACCATTGAGGTGGGTAGGCTGGTAAGTTACTTACTTGAAAAATTGTGTCATAGTGGTGGTTTGGAGGGTTCAATTCTTGTTAACAGCAGGGGCCAGAGAAGGCTCTGGCAAACTAGGCCATTTCCGTTGTCTCTTCTTGGAGTATGTAACTTTGCATTGCAGTAACAGTGTCTGATATTTTCCAAGCTTCCACCAGTACATGATGTATTTTTGACACTGTCCATATTATTTGTCTCTCATCAGATGAAAACATCAAAATTGTATATATGATTTGGTACAAAACACTTATTGTTGTTTGGTAGCATGTTTGTTGTCATATTTTGGGTTGGTTAGTTTTTGTCTACTATGATATGTATAGGAACCAATGATACCTCCTGAGCCTGAGTTGTAAAGTGCAATTTCACTTGAATCTGGTGCTGCTGGTACTTTTGATGTTCTACACCCCCCTGTTCTTCACCAGCATCTTGTTCATGAACTTAGATCATGTGTGGCAAGTGAAGTGGCAATTTTCATCTTATTACTGTACTTCTAGGAACAGAGAGGAAAGTCTATGACAATGGTGAGTAACATGCTACTCTACTAGTGATTTTGACATTCTATTGACCATGTTTGCTTGTCCTGCTGAATGCTACATTTGTGTTCACATGATCAGTGCTACCAGTAACATTAAGTGGACAAGTAATATCCTCAAGATTGCAGCTTGGAGTAAGTTGAACCTCTCTTTAATGTTCAACATGTTTTTCTACTGTGTGTCAATTTTGGGCCATCTAATTACTGTGTAATGACAATGACTCCTCATCATTGTAGTAGTAAGAATTGTCCCATTTTTTGCTGGTGGCAAAATGTTGTTGTAGAGGCTGCCAATATTGGTGTTGGTATTGCTCTGCTTTGCATTGCTATTCCCCAACTTCTTTTGAGAGGAACTGCTGGTAGTATTTCTTGTAGGAGTAGAACTCAAACTTGTCCAACAAGGCCCCAGTTAGTGTGTCGTGTCTGTCATAACTATAGTAGCCAAAGTTGTCCACAATTATTCCTGTTGGGTTCTTTTTCATGCTGGACTGACTGATCACAATAATTACTGAATTTCTGGAGTCTTGGGAGTATTTAGATTCTCTTATATTTTGGAATGACCAATCATAAATATGACTGAGGATTTATTTGGGAGCAATTTGGTTCTCTTAAATAATGGAATGACTGATTGCCACAATAAATGCAAGAACTTCTTGACTCCTCAATTCTTATGAGTCCCAATGAAATTCCTCCTACTGGTATACATGTTGCAACAGATACGTGTGTTCTGTATCAAAAGTAAATGTACGATACAAAGCTTCGAAGAAAGGAATGAGGGAGCATACCATTCCTACGTACCTATTGTAAGGTACTGTTCGTATGTATGTATCATAGGATCCATCATAAGAGGTCCGAGGATCCATTGTAAGAGGTCTGAGGATCGTAAGAGGTCCGAGATATCAGAAATAGATTACCTCGCAAAGAACAAAGATGTCAGTAGATCAGAATAATAAGAATCCTGTGTAAATTCAGTACGGAGAGCTACACAGGATCTAATCAGAGCTACTGAAAGCTCACGTTGGAACAAGATAATCTTAATCTGATAATTCTATTTTCATACACACTTAACACCTACTACGAGTACATGTAATATTGTGTACATGTGTCTCCAGATGGTGATGGAGAAGCACACAAAAATGCAACAAAGTCACTCAGCATCAATCTCCTAGTGCCAGGAGTCTTGGGTAATTTTTTGAATGAGTACAAGACACCAGCACTAGATAGGGTACTATCTGGTCAGTGAAGGAGCAGAACTGGTTGAGGCAGGAGGAGGGATTGACAGTAATACCAAACACAGCCTGGAAGTTGGGTGATGATGGAGATGAATGTACATTACCTGGAGGATGCGCAACCCAGGTCCCATTGGTTCTGTAAGAAGGAATACATTAGATGGCTGCACCAATAAGGTGGAAGGGTTGACATGTTTGTTCTTGTTCTTGTTTGATGAAAGAATAATCCTTCAGCTGATAACAAACAATGAGTCCAACCAGTATGCATTTCAAGATTGGGTGACAGAAGCTGGTGAAGCTACTTATCCTACTAATGGATGGGTAAGAAAGAAGACAAAAATGTTCAAGCTCTGTGATGTTACCAGCCCCAACAAACAGAACCAAGACCGCTCTTCAGAGGGAGATACTGTCCTTGGAACAGATAGGAGCATTCTTCTCCCCAGAAGTTATGCTGGTTCTGGCCCACATAGTGCCTTCTCCTTTAGTTCACAAGGCTTTAGTTCACAAGGTTAAATATAATATTTAGAATTTTTTCTTTGGTTCTTCCTTCAGCCAAGCAGATTGTAAAAGAGCAGGAAAGGCAACTTATCTGAGTAAATGGTGACTATGCTGCATCCACCACCACTGCACTAGTGACACTGGTACTACTACTAGTACTAGTAGTGCTATTGTGTGTGCAAAAGCAACAACAATGCACATCAGCATTAGTAACGCTGTACTACACGAATCAGCTGGTGGCACCAGCACATCTCTCCAACAAAGACCACAAAAAAGAGCACCAAGATTTAAGGTACACACTACTGCAATTAACCATTAATAGGTGGGATGTCGACTGTTGAAAATTACAGTGCAAGCACTAGTATCTAGTATCTAGTATCTTAAGAAAATTGAATTAGATTCCAGACGTGCAGACATAGAAGTATGTATTTAAGACACAAGAAATACATAGATTTCTGGTTCTTGGAGGCCCACGGCTGCCAAAAGTATGTATGCAAACACACACTTCTTGTTTGAGGATTCAGAAAATCCTTAGTCACGAGCCTTTGGATTTGTTCTGGTGCGCTTGCTGGCACCATGCGTTCTCAATATTTGCTGGCAAGAATGCAGTTACTGTAAATTTCAAGCAAAATTCCATATTCCAAAATCAATCACATTATATGTCCATACATACTTAATCCCATACATAAATTCGTAAAGTAAGACAGGAACCATGTCGATTTCAATTTTTTGGAAAAAAGTTAGATTCCCAGATCCCCCTCTGGGTACCGAAAATTGTGATCAGTTTTGATCACAAAAAAATGTGATCAGAAATAACAAATTTGTGATCAGGTTTTTGTGATCAATCTTGATCACAAATTCGAACTGTCTTACGTACATTTTGTACTAGTCCCGTTTTTATATAAGATTATAATACCCTAATATAAATAATAACAGTATTCTTACACGTTTGTAGTACTACTAATAGTACACCAGTCCTGTATTACCAAAATAGTAATAAGCCCTATTAAGAATTCACGCGACGTGCTACTAATATGACCATGAATGACTTTATATATAAATATATATATATATGAATATTTATATCATATAAATCGAATATAAATATTAATGTAAGAATAAAACTTGATCTTAATTCTAATCCGTTGGAAAAAATGTGATCAAAACTGATCACAAAAAATTGTGATCAAGAAATTCATCAATTTTGTGATCATTTCTGATCACATTTTTTTGTGATCAAAACCGATCACATAATGGAAAAAAGGGGACCGGAGAATTTAATTTTTTCGAAAAACATCGAAATCGACATGGTTCCTGCATAGATTCTATGTTGACGGGAATGACCCAATATGGTATCCCGAAACGCTTCACTAAAAGGGGGATTTTCACACGCTTCAAGCATGGGTTCCGGCCAGATGGCCCGGTACTCGTAGTCACCCCAATAATAGAGCACCTGAAATACCTGTACGAACGTTACTGTGCATTAAGTTGCATGCAAATACAAATGCATCTGAATACAATCATGTTCTCTATGTTCTTCAGACATCAATTGGGGATTGATCACCAGGAGGACTCAACATATGCCGCGACAACGGTGGCCCTAACAGCCGCAAAAGCGGCATCCGGTGAAATTACAGAGCAAGTGAAATAGGAATACGTACTTCCAGAATTTATAAGAACAAAAATATTGTAATTAATGATCTGAGAATTCTGATCTTCCATTGGCCATCAATCGCAGATATAGAATGTTCTCTACGTGGAAAAACAGAAATCATGTGGACAATCTTCAAAATTTCGGGAAGAAGTTTATTCCTGGCACCAATTCCTGTCGCACATAATTTCTTATGGATTGGAAGCAGTTTGTAGCAAGGTTCTTCGGATGGAAAAGAAGCATAGCCAGCGTGCTCTAAAGTTTACACAGTACCATACCGTACCCACGTACCGTAGAAAAAGCACCATCATTGAGATGTCGCCGTGTTCTCAGAACAAAAAAAGATTTCTATGGCCACATCCTCTAGTAGCGGTTGCATAGTACTTATACTAGGTTCAACATTAGTGGAAACTGTCTGTTTCTACCTCTGCTGCATTACTACATAACTAGGACACGCTTACACAAAGCTGCATATAACTTTCGTAGCAAATTATACCACTGGACCGAAATTCTACCTTTGATGGTGCAGTTCCGAATCGAAGAGCAGCAGTTTGTTTGTATCGGAAAAACGCGAAATCACATCGAGTTGACCACCGATCGAAGAAAACAGTTGTCATCATCCAACAATCAGTTGGTGTCCGATACCTGAGATCTCTGGTAGCCAACCAAAACCCAAACCGCACCACAAAGTGCTTCCCGTGGAACATACCTTTGTCACCCGATCGAAAACCGCAATACGCATAAACACCTACGAGTCGTACCGCCTTTATTATTGCCTTTGCTCTGTGCTTCGAGGAACAGGTTCGAAGATAGTTAACGTATCGTCAATCTACTACAGGTACACACTTATTTTGTTTTGCAGGGTTCCGTTTTGCAGGGTTCCTTTCATCGTTTTCAGTCATCCACACAGCTACCGAATCCGAGTGTAAGCTTATGTCAGACTGAGCCGATTCTCCACCACTACATCGACATCAACATCATAACCCGTGTCAAGGAACACAAAAGTTGTATCCTCTATCACCTGCAGCTCCACTGTGACTGCGCACCAATCCATACCTGATCACATAGTGATACGTTGACCACGCTGACACCCTTTTGGGATCTAAGCATCCTTTGGCGAGGTAACCATCCGATCAGATCGGACCAAGCGAAATCCATCCGAAAGTCGAGAATCGGAGCTACAAAACGAGCTAGGCATCGCGATCTAAGCAAGCAGTCCGTTGCTCACATCACAACGTTTCATCGCGCCACTATCGCTGCACAAGAAACCATCGTCGATCAAAATCTTTGGCTGTCAGCTTTGCTACCAGTTCTTGATATTTGATTCGTGTTAATCCAATCCGATCCGATCCGATTTCGGCACTCTGTACTACAAAAATACAACACAACAACAAAAGAATCTACAATGGATTCCTCGGGAAATATATACTTGGATTGTTCCGCAGCCCAGCAGCAGCGGCTTCTGGAGGATAGCGGCAGCGCCGATCCAACTATGGACATCCTACAGTGTGTTAGCGATAGCTACCAAACCATACAGGACGATCGACAGGAGAATCTCAGGAGTTTCCTCTTGGTTGTCTGTGGAGGCATGATCTTCTTTATGCAGTCCGGATTTGCCATGATGTGTGCGGGTTCGGTACGGCTGAAGAATGTCCAGAACACCATGCTCAAGAACCTTCTGGATGCCTGCGGTGCAGCTCTTGCGTTTTATCTCGTCGGTACGTAAACATGAAATGGAATTACGAATCAAGCAATGAACGAACGAACGAGGAGATTTATCGTGTTACTGTTTCATGAGTTCGGAAGGAAATGCGAATTATTGATGGCGTGCTGTGTTGATATTCGATGCGGTCCCAATATCGATGCGCAATTCCTCTTGCACGCACAAGCGATGTCATGGATCGCTTCTTTAATCGTATCGGTATGGCGTCCTCTTTGTCTGGAATCTGTAATGACTGATCTCGCTCACTGATTCTCGCAAATGTATGTGTTTTTCTTTCTTGCGTTACCCATCAATAACAATGTTCTCGATGCTTGGGTGTATGATTTGTTAAATGTCTAATTGATTCATGCACTGGTAGGATATGCATTTGCGTTCGGGAGAGACCTCGATACTCCGGAGCCAACTTCCGACCGTACAACGTTTGTTGGAACACAGAATTTCGTTAGCGTTGGAAGTTCCCCCGCCTTTTGGTTCTTTGAGTTTACCTTTAGTGCCACCAGCGTGACGATTGTGGCCGGGACCCTTGCGGAGCGATGCCAAATGGCAGCCTACCTTGCCTACAGCGTGGTCCTGGCGGGTTTCATCTATCCGGTGGTCGCTCACTCGGTCTGGAGCGAGGAAGGATTCCTGAGCCGAACCAACGAAAACCCCTTCATGGACCAGGGTGTCATCGACTTTGCAGGAGCTGGCGTTGTACACCTCAACGGAGGACTCATTGCTCTTTATGCTACACTCGTGCTGGGACCACGCCGAGGGCGCTTTTATGATGCCCAGGGCGATCCTTTGGAGAAACCCCTGCCCTTTCCGGGGCACTCGGTCGCCCTCCAGCTGCTCGGTACGATGATTCTGTGGTTTGGTTGGTTTGGATTTAACCCAGGATCCGCCCTCTTGCTGCAGGAGAATGAACGATTTGGAAACGTGGCAGCAAACGCCGCTGTGGCCACGGCCCTTTCCGGGGCTAGCGGTGGTATCTGTGCACTCTTTACGAATCTGTGGTGGGAAGAAAGAATGACCGGGGAGCCGAAGTTTGTCATCCAGATGGCAATGAACGGAGCCTTGAGCGGTCTGGTGGCCGTTACGAGTGGCTGTGCCGTCATGAGACCCTACGCGGCGATCATTACTGGCGCTATCGCCGGATGGATCTACATGTTGTCCTCCTCTCTCCTCATCCGCTACCGCATTGACGATGCCGTCAACGCCATTCCCGTGCATATGTTTAACGGTTGCTGGGGGTTGATCGCCACGGGACTGTTTGCCCACCCAGAATTGCTGGAAATCACCTACAACAACAGGCCCGCGGACCACCCGGGGTTCTTTTACAGCTTTGCAAACGGAGGTGCTGATGGCAACCTACTCCTGTGCCAATTCTGTGCCGTATTGTTTATATTGGGATGGACATTTATCACGATGTTTCCGTTTTTCATCTGGTTGAACTACCGGTACGTACTAGCAAATAAACCAGAAATGATAATCTTTTGACCTGTACAACATCGTTGACTGCTCTGCAAAATGGAAATATCGAAACAAACTCACTCACATCTGTTTCTTTTCTTGATTTTGGTATTGTGATAGAGGATGGCTACGAGCTGACTCTCTCGAAGAACTGGTTGGTCTCGACGTCTCGTATCATGGCCGAAGCACACACGACGAAAACAGTGGCATCAAGAAGGAATACATCGAGGCCTACAATCGTTACAAAGGCACTATCCGGCAGCAAAGGAGTCACCACCACGGGCACAACAATTCGAATCCTGACCGGGATCAGCTGGTCTTTGACACGACACCCTCGATGGAGGACACAGAACATCGTATGATGAGTCCCCATGAAGAAGTGTCACATTATAACGAAACGATATCACGGTGCCATACAAGGGAGAAAGAAGACAAACGAACAGAGGAAGAAACATCTACAAAATCAACAACGCTGAAGGATTCCAAGGAAGATCTAAATGACATGGATCATTGTAAATAGGATTAGCCCTCTGTTGTAAGATACAGCACGCCAAGGAACCAGTCAGCCAATCGGTGACAAACAGAGATATATTCTGTACTTCTAGCTTTATTGAACTCGCATTCTGAATCTGTCAAAATAAAATTACTTAAAATGAAAAAAAATTAGTACCTAACAATATAAATAGAAAAAACAAATCAAGTTGCCTGAGTTAATTTTATCGTGCTCGTACACAAGCCGTGTCATTGCCTTTCCATTCGCATTCGTTCGATTAGAGAGCGGTAGTAAACATTTTCTTGGCTGGTTCAAGGACGTCGATGTAACCCTTGAATCCCTGTGGGAGCATGATTGTGTCTCCGGGAAGGCACCTCTGGGAACCCCCGGTGGAAATATCGTGCACATTCAGAGCACCTTCCAAGAGATGAAAGAACACCTTTCGTTCTAGTGGATTCGGGATGGGAATGAACGCCCGCTCGGAAGCCCACACTCCCACCGAGGTTGGTCCGACGTCGTAGAAGGTTTTATAGGAAATTTCTGGAGCACTCGCGGCGTAAAGGGGATCGATTCCGTATCCGTTGGGAGTCAGAAAATGTGGCGCAAATGTGTGGTATCCATCGACCCGAACCCGAATCGGCACCGATTGGTCTTCCTCGATGTAATCGTGGGCATTGACGGCCCAGATTTTATGGATGGGTGAGTATACGTCCCACCTTCCGGTGTGGCCTTTGGGAATGATGACCGTATCGCCCGGTCCAAAGTAGTGCTTGGTGCCGTCAGAATCACCGAGCATACCGTGTCCTTCTAGAACAAAAAATACTTCCGTGTGGGCCTTCTGGTTGGGCGAGGGCCAGCCTCCCTCGGAGCAGAACCAGGATCCGGCTCGGAGGGTCCCATCATCGGCGAGTTTCCGGGTGGCATCCTGGGGGGTTCCCCAGTCCTTGGTGGCTCGGGGTCCCTTGGAGACCATTTGGTCGATGCTGAAATACTCGATGGGGGCGTGGTGGATGTTTTCCGAACCCCCACCAGCGGAACCTACCACTTTCGGTGCAGCAGGTACTGGTGCAGCAGGAACCGATGCACCGGGCCCCGGCCAGTACCCCCAGTCGCTGCGTTCGGTGTTTGCGGCTAACGGAGCAGATTCGTCCCCGGAAAGATCGTCTAGGTACGAAAAGGCAAGGCGGCTCGATGACGCCCCAGTTCTAACCTGGTGTTGCTGGAACGCAGAGGAGTACCCTGCAAGCAACAGAGCCACTGAAGATAGAGCAAACGATCGAACAATCATGTTTTTCGGTTCTTATCTTTGGAGATAGTTTTGTGCTAATCCAACGTTTGCAAGTTCTTCCGCTTCGCAGTTCGATAAAGATCACCGATCACTCGGCTGCACATCGCCAATGCAAATCCTTCAAATAGAAAAAGTTTTAGCGCACACATTCGAGTCGTAGCCGATCGATGACGTTGTTGTTGGCTTTTGATTTTTATTGGATCCAATCCCTTTTCTTCCAGTCACGATCAGGAACACAGAGATATGATTCGTACCTAGTAGCAGTACGATAGAAAATCAATACTCGTACCGGTGGTACGGTACTATGTACTATGGCTACTGGTGAAAATGATAAAGATCCTGTAATACAGCTGTTTATTTTGGCTAAAAATGTCATTTTACATTGATTTTGGCATGAATTTGAAGTTAGAGATTGAAATAAGAATAAAGCAATCTAATTGGCTTATGATAACAAGGATTGGGATTACAAACTTTCATTCACACAACCATATGAGCGAGGAAGAAGAGCAGGAGGAAGAAGAAGAAACGACAGCAATTGTTTGTTGGTTGTTGGGTGGTCCACTGTGTTGTTGTACTAGTGGCAGGTATATAGTATACCCAAACCTTATCTGCCTACTACAACATGTTTGTCATTATTTTAACACAGCACTCCTGCAGTTTAGTCATTGATGATGCATTATCACCAATGTCTAAACTGAACAATACCTTTACTAATGATGCTTGCTGTTGACATTGCCAACAACAACAAACAGTATGTTGAAGAAGACATGGACTGTGGATTGGTTATCCAGTAGTATCCAGAGTGGGTTAAATCTCCCTTCTATTCTATTATATACAGTTTTGAAATTTTCCATGAGTTCTTCCTCTGTGATTATCTTTTTGAAGAGGAGGTTGGTGAGGGGTGGCATGAGTTGATACTGAAGTGGTATCTGCAGTCGTCTGCTGTTAGTAGTACTAAATGATCACTACACTCATCTATCACACTTTCTGTTATTATCATTGTTGTTCCCTTCTTTGCAACTTCTGTGATTTATTCAACAACTGCCTCTTTCTCTTTTGGTTCTCTCTTGTCTGTTGACTGTCCTTCTTCTTTCATCTGACAGGCTTACTTTATATGTAGTACATTTGGGCAACATGTGTCCCTTTCTACTACCACAGTTACTATAACATGGATGTAACTACTACTATGAATTAGTTCTGACATTATCGTTATGTTCTTCATTGTCTGGGGCATTTCTTTGTCCTTCTTGTTTCCTCTTGTTGCTGTTTAAAAAAAACTATGTGTGTTCTTGGATATAACATTCTGTTGTTGATTAGCATTCTTCTTCTTCTCTTGCTTCTTGCTGTACTATGTCTACTGAGGAGGGTTCTTGTTGTTGTTGTTGTACCACCAGTATTCTTGTTCCAGCAGTACTGTTAGGGCACTGGTTAGTAGTGTCTTTGGATACTTATCATGATTTTGTGCAAACCTGTTGCTGCACTCTTCCTTTTATTTTCCATGTTTAATCCAATGCAAGTTCATCAAAAATACACTTTCAATGAACCTTTCCCTTCTGAATTTTATTTTTAACTTGACATTCGACTTCACATTCCGAATGTTATAGTACTACCGTACCGGTACTAGCAGTTTTTCGTCCTCTGTTTGGAAACAAGACCAGAATTATCGTTTTTAATGCTTGCGCGCAACCAAGTGAAGAATTGGGATCATAGTAGGATCTACGTAGGCCAACGGTAATAAAATTCTAACTTTCGGAATGTTAAATTAGCGTTCCGTAAGTACCGTACCAGGAATGTGAACTTCAACAGTTTCTGTTCTCCATCTTTGTGGCTCTTTGTGACTAACAGCCACCGTCTTGTTCTTCCGCTTTCATCGTCAACAACGACAGGGACAGAGAGGACAAAGAGAGCATTGATTATTCTTGATAGCACCGGTAATACTGCGGCGTAGAAATCACCACCTATAGCCGATCCGAAGAAGGAATGGAATATGGTGCGTTCCAACAACGGCGGGGAAGCCACTCCGCAGAGAGGTGCTGCCGAGGAATCCGGTGCCAACAGACGTTCGACGAAAAAAGCCTTTTCTGGACGGAGCAGCGGCAGAAGCATCCGGACCATGTGCGTCCTCGTGGCAACCGCTGTGTTCTTCTCGAGCCGCCAGCACAAGACGCTGACGATTACAAAAAGGAAGACGATGGATCCTGGTTTCACTAGCAGCGACCCAGGAAACACCAGCAACAGCAGCGGTGTTGATTTTGCCCAACGGAACCGTAGTGTTAGAAACGACATTGGCGGGACGCCACAAGCGGCACTCTCGTCTGCCTCTTCATCTGCCTCTGTTCCCTACTCGTTGGATGCGGAGCCACCGATCTACCCCCCCGAATTCTATCGCGTGCAGCAGCGGCAACGGGATCGAAACGATGCCACCAAACCGTGGCGGCACGCACCGAACCACACCGCGGTCGCGGATGCATCGTCGTGGACCCACGCCGAGCGCTCCTGGTACCGAAGCGAATTCGAGGCACTCAACCGAGACTCCGTCTTTTCGCTCCTGTTGCTGGAAGGGGAAGGCAGCGCAAGCACGGACACCGTCCTCCAGTGGAGCGACGACCAGGACGAAGACTTTGGCTTGATCAAGGAACACGGGCGGAAACGACACCAGCAGGGGCTCTACGAATACCACGATGTACAGAGTGCGGGAGAAAACGGTAGCAACCAGTTGCTGGTCCTGGAAGCAGCCTGGGGCAACGATGCACACGTCGGCAATCCCAGCGGCAAGACCGGCTCCACCACCAACAAGTCCGGCGATTCGGCCAGCCCCGGGCACCGCGGCCGTCCCGAACCTTACAGGCCCCGGTTGATTGTCGAGCCGAGCCTCTGCCACGCCTTTCGGCACGCAGGGGCCATTGCCAACTTTTCGACGCCCCACGTCCTCGTCACCCACATGAACGAAAACTGGGGGGCCCTGTCCTCCGAGGTCGCCGGCCGCACCGCGGAATGGGGCGACATTGTTCGAAACTGGAGGGCGCTCGGCGGATCCGGCGGCTGCGACCCCCTGGAGCTCGAGGAGTTGTACCTGGATTCTCCGCACACGCTGGCCGTCTTCACGACCCAGCACCAGGCGCTCTTCGACCACCCCAAGGTCCACTCGATCCCCATCGGGGTCGCCAACCAGCGGGGGTTTGCCGAGGATTTCTTGGCGCGTCTCCGGTCCCAGAAGAAACGCTCGGACCAGCGGGCCAGGGTCGGATCGATGCGGGTGTCGCCCCCCGGGAGCGAGACGCCCCACGCGCCGGACCCACGGCCCCAGCTCCTCATGATCAACGCCTTTCCGTCGGACACCCGGGCCCCGCAGATCGAGGCCGTCGTCCGGAGCTTTGCGTCGTCGGGCCACCGCGTGGCCAATACGTACAAGGCGGGCGGCACCGGCTACTACAACGAACTCTCCCGCAGCAAGTTCGTCCTGTGTCCCTCCGGAATGGGCTACGACACCTACCGGATCTGGGAGGCCCTCTCCATGGGGGCCGTTCCCGTTCTCGAGCGCCACACCTACCGGTACGAGGCGGTGGGATCCGGAAGGGGCCGCGCCACGATCCTCCGGACCGTGGGCGACGGGGAGGGAAACACCACCACAACCGCCATCGGCAGCAGCATCGGCAACACCACCAACAACACCACCACCCCATTTTTGCTCGAGTATTCCGACGGGTGGCAAAAGACGCTGGACGGCCTGCCGGTGGTGTGGACCGAACGCGGCAAGGACGGCGGCGGCGGCTTCGAAGGCCTCACCCCGGAATTCCTGGAGCGGGCCTACGACGACCTCGCGGCACGCAGCTTTGCCGGGGGATTCCGGTACGAGAAACTCACGTCGCTGTACTGGATCCGCTTCCTCGAGTCCTTCCTGCTGCTCCCACCGGACCAAGCTCGTCGGGAGCCACCGCAAGAAGCGCCGTTGCGAAGGCAATCGCAAACGCAGAAGTGGAACCTTGCCATGGAAAGCCTCTCGTCCACCTTCAACCACCACCGCCGCAACAACCTTTGACCGCCGGAGCCCAACACTTTGCACCTTGGACAACCAACAACGCGGGAGCTCTACATCGGCGGCCGGACAACAGGCAGCATCCTTGTTCCCGGATCGTCGCCAAACAAGAGAGGGAATCGGCGGCGCGGGCGCAGCTTCTTGCGGGACGCCGTGCACCCCGGCACAAACCACTCCCGTTTCAACAGGAGGAAGGAACGTTCAAAGTGCAGTGCGATTGCTGCTGTCGGGGAGAAAGAAGATGGATGTGGGACGACGAGGCTTGGATTTGTGAAAGATCCTTGTTTCTAAAACCTGTTAAATGTACGGTATGTGCCCTTGGTGTCACAACTACGTACGAGTACGTACGTGTTTACGAGAAGAGTGAGGGTGTTCGTTCTTCATTTCTTACTTGTGATACGGTATGGTTGGTAGTACTTGAATGGGGAGAGGAACGGTACAAAGTACTAGTATGCTACGGTAGCGTCGTTTTCAACGGATACATCGTACTGTAGTACTGTGACGATGAATCGAATAATCGACTAACTTGAATCATCTCGATAAAAAGTGGAAAATATGCCGACTATGTACTACTACAATGTACGCTACATTACAGTACCGTACGGTACGTAAGTACGCATTCTGTCATTGTAATCAGTCGTTCTACCATACGAGTAATCCTACGGTACGCACTAGCTAACCCATTTTGCACATTATGCCTTATCCCTGTCGTAGAACTTTCAAAATTGTCGTTCCGTAGCTTTTCAAAAACCCGCAGATTGGTACGAGTACGAGTACGAGTACGAGTACCGTCGACAGCAATGATGGGCAAGAAAAAATCTTTCCGCCATCTTCCGGTGCACCCCTCGTGGCCTGCGATCAGCACCAACCAGCACACCGATAACAGCACCATTCCGAGAGCGCATACAAGCGAGGACAACAAGCGACAACCACAACAAGCGACCAATAAAGGACTGCTCATGAAGACGAAACCCAAGCTGGTCCGCGTCCTGGCGCCCCCCCTGTCGCTGGTGGTGCTCGGGCAGCAGGAGCCGGCGGCTTTGGAGTCCGACGGAGAGGGGGGGGGAGGCGTCCCGGAAGCCACCCGCAGGGCCCTCGGCGAGTCCCTGGCCCGGAGCCGGCCGCTGGCGCCGATCGCTTTCCCCGGCGGCGGCGACAGCCACCACCACCACGACGGAAACAAGTACACCGTCCAGCAGACCACCCTGCACCCCTGCCGTCCGTGGGTGGCCTACGCGGTGTTTGCGCAGGGGGAGGCCGGCGAGGCAAGCAGCGGCAGCGGCAACCACCCCGAGGCCTCCCACGAGAGGAACGGGTGGGTGGTCGTCCAGGACACGTCGACGTCAAGGATCGTCTTCTCGGCGGGGCTTTCCGAGCTGGCGGCGGAGGCCTCGGCTTTTCGCGTTCGCCACTCTGGGCACCAAAGGGGCCGAAGCGGTTCGGACGCCAGGCAAGCACCGCCGCACCTGCGGTCCGTGGTGCGGCTGGCCTTTCTCGACCAGGCGGCCCTGTACTGGAACGGGTTTGCCGGAAATGCAAGCAGCAACGACGGCAGCAACGACTACGACGACGACCACCACCACCGCAGCTGGTCGTACCTCCTGGTCCACTTTTCGAACCGGGTCCTGGTGGTCGACCTAAAGGCCCGGGGGGCGGGCCTCTCCGACGCCGGCTTYGCGACCGCCCACCCGGCCCCCTCCGCCGTGGTGGCCGACGTGACCCCCCAGAGCCTGGAGGGGGCGACCGGCGGCGGCGGTTCGAGTTCGAGTTCGAGTTCGACTTCCAGCGGGTCCCTTGGCGCCGCCCTGGCGGTGTCCCGGACGAAGCTCCTCCTGGCCTGCTCCGACGGGACCCTCGGGGTCTACGACTGGGAGTCCTCGAGCATTTTGCGGTCCGCCGGGTGGGCCGGGGYGGTGGGGGGGTTCACGGACAACCCCAGGACGTCCGACGCCATCGTCCGGATCGTCCCCGCCAATCCCTACTCGTACGACCCGGGGGAGGCCATGGCCGGCGACGGCAGCAGCAGCCGCCAGCGGCCCAAGCGGCAGACGGTCGTCTGCCTGACCAAAAAGGAGGCCGCCTACCTGGTCGACGTGGGCAGCCCCTCGCTCGGGTCCGTCCTCGCACGCATGGAGGGGGGATCCGTGTTTGCGCACGGGCACGAGGGCGTTCYKGCGTTTCCGAGCGCGGGCATGGACCACACGGACGTCCGGTACGATGCCTTTCGGGACCTCTTCTTYTGGACGAATCCCTCCAAGAACGGCAGGTCCAAGCTCTTTGTGTGGGACCTGGCCGCGGTGGTGGCTTCCTCCAAACGACAACAACTACAACAGCAGCAGCAGCAGCAGCCCGGGGCGTCCAAGCCACCGATCCTTCGGCCCGATCCGGTGYTGGTGGCCCAGTTTGCGCACGAGGGGCTCTCGCACTCGGTCTTTCCCGGATGGCTCCACGAGTCCTTCCCGTCCGACAGCGTGGCCTGTCTCCTGGCCACCAAGGACGGGGAGCTGCAGGTGTCGGTGGCCCCCCTCTACAAGACCAACTCCTCGGCGAAGAACCCCTTTCCGGCGGCGGTCGTCTGGAGCGTCGAGCTCCCAAGGGTCCTGGCCCGGGACCTGCGGCTGGGGGACCGTTGCGCCCCCGGCGACGTTGAGGGCCCCCGCTTCAAGGTCCGGTCGGTCTCCTGCGAGCCGCTGAGGGACCCGTCCACCGTCTTTGTGGGCACCACGATCGGGATCCAGGTCGTGAGGCTCCTGGACGGCCTCAAGGGCCTGCCCTCCCCCGGGACCCGGTGCGTCTACTTCAACGCCAACGCCGGGAACATGGGCCGGTCCGTCCTGTCGCTGCGGGGGGGGCAGCTCTCGTATAGCCCGCTGGATCCCCCCCCGCTGGAGGACCGAGCACAAGCGAGCAGCAGCAGCAGCAGCACCGGTTCCAGCTTGCTGGGAGTCGACCGGGTCAACCCGATCGGGAGGATGGAGTACTACAGCGCGGGCTACAGCACCGGGGGRAGCACCGGCAGCTCGTCCGGCAACGTCTATGGCAGCCTTTCCGGGAACATCGCGCGGAGCAACACCAAGGAGCACCGGACCGCCCAGAAAATCACCTCCATGGTCTACGAGTCGCCCCCCCCGCTGCACCTGCCCCTGGAAATCCGGAGCAGGCGTCCCTTCCGGAACCCGCCGCGGTTCCTGCYTAGCCCCTCCGGCCGGTTCGTCTGCTGCTGCTGGAAAGACGAGCTGCGGTACGAGATACTGAGCGTGTCGGTCCTCCTGGAGAGCGTCAAGGACAAGAACCGAAACCGGAACGCGGGCGAMRGGCCCGCGGCGAGGAACCCCCTCGTGGCGGGCGGAACGGGGGTGGTGTCCTTTGCCTGGATCGGCGACGGCGACGTCTTCTCCCTCCTGTACGATCCCGAGCAGGACGAGGCCCTCAAGGCGGGGATCAACCTCGGCGCGCCGGAGGCCAGCAAGGGCTCGGACTTTTACACGGTCGACGCGATGATCAAGAACCTCGGAAAGATCAAGACCTACAAGAAGGGCGCMAGGGCGGTGGTGGACACGGCCGGGAAGCTCGGGAGCGTCGAGGGCCTGATGGACCTAGGGAAGGACACGGGCAAGCTGGGAAAGAAGGGGCTGAAGGGCATGTCGCGACTCGCCCACGGATCGGCGACCGCGGTCGGTGCCCCCATCATGGTAAGTAAAGTAAAGTAAAGTACGGTACGGTACAGTACTTCGGTATGTAGTGCGCTTTTTTTCCCGGGGGCTTCCGCGGACATCGATGGGAAGCCGTTCGTCCGTGCACCAAAGYTCGGTCGCTGGGAGTACGATCGAACGGCAGAGACCAAGGTTCCTTTTGTACGGTGCGTGTCTCATCCGTGTTTGTTGCTTGCTCGATAGGGTGCCGGAAAAATCGCTGTCAAGGGCACGAAGAAAGGAGCGAAACGAGTCGGCAAGAAAATGCCCTTTGGCTGGGGCAAAAAGAAGGACAAAAAGGGAGCCAGTTCCCTGGCCAGCACGGACTTGGAAAGCGACGACGACGAACCCACCACGGCTACGTCTCCCATCGAAATCATACCCGAGGAAACCGACCCGGAGGCCGACGAACGAGCTGCTTCCCAAAAACTCGAGAAGAAACATCCGTGGGTCGAACTCAGAATGCTGGTGGGATCTACCAACGAGGGAGACGAAACGGCCGGCGGCACAACCGCGTCCAGTTTGGGGCAGCTCACACTGAGAACGGGAGGCCGCAATCCCCCAACGATCCTGTTCGGAGGTCCCGTGTTGTGCGTGGGAAGCAAGTTCGACGAAAACGACGAGGGCGTGTCGCACTTTTACACCAAGAAGAAGGGCCAGGACGAAGAGAGTGCCTCGGTCTACGTCAGTTCCGGACCATCCTTCCCTTGCCCCGATATTGTGGCGTGGGACGACGATGGAAAGCTGTGTGCGGTCGTGATCAAGGGAAAGGTGTCGGTATATCTTTCGGACGATCCAAACTTTGTCTTGCTAGGAATGGCAGAGGTTGGGTCGTCGTCGTTGGACAGTGGTGGTGTGATCAGCGCCCGCTTCCTCCATGGAGTCTTGTACTGCACCACGAAAACTTCCGTTCGATGCGTGTTTCTGGGCGACCCGAGCGGAGAAAGTTCCTGCCACATGGACGCGTTCACTCTCGCCAGTTGCAATGTGCCGATCCTGCCCTCCAGATCCATCGTGACCGATTACGATTCTCTGACTCCACCGACTATTCCAATGCCCCTTCATCACCCAGAAATACTGGGTTATCAGAATGGCAGTCTCGTTTTATCCACCACGACCGGCATCGTGGCGGTCCCCCTGGGGTTCCCGTTGCTCCGCATTGGATCGTTGATTTCCGCTGGGAGCGACTATTTTCAAAAAGCCGAGCAGTGGTTCGATGCTGTTCCGAACGATGATCACGAGGCTCTCGCGACGTTTTTGGAGAGACGGGGGGTTCCAATGCTTGCCCTCAACCTCTGCGGGCTGTCGCTCGAAACAACAATCGACCTTTGCATGCGATACGGTTTTGTGGATCGTCTCGAAGAAGTAGTAGAACTCTTTGGACTCAAGGCCATACGTGCGATCGATCAGTCCAGCGGGCTTTCGTCCAATATTTTCGGACCAGAAGAAGGCACCGCAAGCCTTTTAGTGTGTGTGGGAGCTTACTTGTTGAGCTATGGCAGAATCGAGTTGGTTCGTAGAATTGCAACCGAGTGCCTTGCAAGCGGAGAAAAGGGAAAGAAGGAAGCCTTTATGCTAGCCGGCTTGCTCCTTTCCGTAAACGAGAGCGATGCCAAAAGAGTAATTCATCGTTCTGTGGAAAGCATTGAGGACAATAGTGACTGGGTGGTAGGGCCTTTTGTACGAAAACATGTGCTCAACTTTAAGGACTAGCATTGATCAGGTATAGGTATAATTGTCTCGAGATTAGTCCATAGTTGTTGAGGAGGTGCGATGACCCATACCGTAGTGTCCGTTGCAGACGGATTGTTACCGCATAGAATTTTTTAGTGTATTTATTGATACGCCGACGAAGACAACTAAGTGATAACAGAGATCAGACTTGCGATAATTCTTTTTGTTGCGAAACGAAAGAATTTCACTGATTTAGAGCTGCCAATGTTGAAAACATCTGTAGTTAGTTGTCCCAATGCTATGATTAGTATTAATTGTATTTGAGTACTACTTGTAGTACTACACCACAGTCACATGCGATTTTTATTCCCTCTTGTCTAGTGCTTTCCCCAATCCAAAATACAAATGCAATCACTGCAACTATTCTATTTAGCTACAATTCTGCGATTTGTGTCATTCTCACTATTCCTGTTAACCATGATAGTGTCACAACCTTGTATCTACTATACAGTCATTTTCATTCAGGCTCAAAGAAGGTTGTCACACATGTTGTTCTTTTCTCCTTGGTGAAACAAAAAATAGAATTCTTGAGCTGATTGTTCTTGATCATTTTCTCTTGCTCCAACTGAGGAGAATTCTCAACAATGGAGTGTTGGGCTTGTTGGAGTTATAGCTCACTTTATAGTTCGTCAATGAGGTTCTTCAGCTGTTGTAAACAGAGTATCATGCCATCACCCAGAAGTGGAGCATCAATGGAGAACCTCTTGGGTCTGAACCCCAGCTACCGGGATTGGATCTTGAATTGAGTCACAATGCACGATCTCAATTCCTGTTCCCCGATCTTTTTCGCTTCACTAAGATCCAAAACCAACCCAGCTCTGTTTAAAAAAAGACATTCAATTTAACTTGCCGAGGATGCTAGTAATGGTTTGTCGGAAAATGATTCCGTCGACACCCGTTGTTGGTCTCGCCGCTGAAGCACAGATTCCATCAATAATCGGTATTGCTCTTGCCGTTGAAGTTTAGGGAACTTGGAGGACAATGACGACCGAAACAAATGACGATGGCGTCGGAAACTACGACGGAGCATTTTTGGGCGGAAAAGTTTGGCGATCGGACCCGTCCCATGGGATTATTAAGTCCACATGGGTAATTCTGGCGTTCTGGAGCTTGTTAGCTGTGTGGTATGCGGAAGCTTTATTGGCAAGATTGCCCTGTGGAGTTACACTGTTTCAATCACAGCTTCACAGCGGCGACAGTGGTCGTTACGAGTACTTTGATTACGACACTTGCGTTCGACAGCAAAGGAAGCAACTAGATGCATATGACTCTTCCGTAATCGAAGAATACAACGACACCAAAATTGAGAATTATGTCAATTATTATCATCATCACAATTTGTGGCTTCGGCTTTTCGAAAGAACCATCGGACTGTCACCCGATATAACAGTACAAATTGTGGTCGTTGCGACTATTTTGTATTTGTCCGCGTTGGTGTTGTTCTTGGAAACCAACCTCGTTACCAAGGGAATCAATGCAAGCAAGAGCTGTTGCTATGACGATATGTTTTGTGAGCCGAACCGCCGCCGGCATCCGACAACTTCAAACAGAGCAAATCAAAATAGTAGCGGAGATGCTGTGATCCAACGACCGGGAAATACGATCAGCAATGTTACGTACTTTGTGGCGTCGGTATTGATTTTTTCCTCGCTCTGTCTTGAAGGGCAACACGGAAATGAGCTCTCTATTTCATCATCAACAACGCTTTGGTATTCCGATGCACTGTTCGGTTGCATGATGTTTGCGTTGTCGGTGTCGTCCACCCTTTGGCATTCCTGGAATATTTCAATAGTTCATTATGTCGACTTGTGGTCCATGGACAGCACTATCATATACTTGATACTGAGGAATCTCAGCGTATCGGTCTTTTATCATGCAGCTATTAAACCCGGTGGCGACCAGAATGGCAATGGCGTAAGCAACGGAGGCTTGAACAGTGGCAGTGTTGAGTGGTTGATAATGACTGCGGTAGAAAAGTCATCACTCATTCTTGAATGGCAAGTACTGAGAAGACCAGCAACCTTACTGAATACAAACACTAAGGATATCGCATTGGCAATGGTGTACTCGTTAATAATTGCTCGTTTGGGATATTACTATTTTTTCCATTTGTGTTGGAAGCACAGGTATTTGCATGGCAGCTGCTTGTTCACGGTACGAAAACGGTTGTCTTCCACCGAACAAAAAAGCAACGTCTGGACCAAGGGTCACTTTCCGATTGGGATGGGTGAGGTGTGTGTATTTGCTGCAATGCCCGCCTTTTTTGTTGGCATTCCTCTCGCCTTGCAGCTGCTGCTGCTGGACCATACCTACGGTTCCATTCGCGCCGGGATGATAGCACACCGGACGTTGGTATTTGGATGGTCCTACCGGCTGTTGGAGAAGTGGGCACTGGACGGTTCGTTCTGCGGGATATGGGGCAATCAAGCAAAAGGCGGCGAACCATCCTTTCCTGAGAGCGCCAAAGGTGTTCACGAAAACAATATTGTGCCGATGTCATCACCCTGGGGGACGCTTTTAAATGCGCTGCTATCACCGACGGCCATCCTCCATTGGACAACAGGCATCACGTTGTTAGCAGGTTATGTATATGCTAGGTCTGTCGAACAGGAATGCCTCGTCTCGTTATTGTGACTCAAACATCCTTCGACATGATAAGAATTGTATCGAAGTACCAATGATTATTCCCGAAGAAAAATAAGTACAGCACAACCTACTACGACTAGTAGTACTAGGATAATCTTGCTGAATATATTCCAGTTCATGTTGCTCAAGATATCGCAAGTACTAAAAAGGGGAAGGCACCAAGGAGTTTTTGGAATGCTATCAAAGTAGATGCCAGACAAGTACTAGGTGAAAGCAGCAGAAATTTGAGTCACTTCTTCCAGCAAGAATTGTAGAAGTAGTAGATCCATTACAATCATAACTGTACTACTAGTAGTAGTAGTAGTTACTAGTAGTAGTAGTACTACTACTAGTATCATCATCTTAGCAACAGGGGAAGAGTCACTATCATATGATGGTTTGATATTTTTGGTTGGGGCTGTTTTGTATTTCCTTGTATGGAAGTTATTAGGGATGAGCAGAATTTTTTGTTTTCCTATATTTCTGATTTCTACAACTCAAGTCTAGTACACAGGTTCAGACAAAATTATTCTGAGAAACTTTTGCCGAAAAGGTGGAATTGGGGTGGAGACGGAAAAAGTTGAGGTAAGCTGTTACTAAGATTTACAGTACTCGTACGTAAGAGGACATTCTGTTCGCTTGTAAAATCGATTAGGTTTAGGAAAAGGGTGAAGAAAGAGAATGTGTCAGAAGAAGAATAGTATCTACTCGTGATTTATTTGCCTCTATTCTCTGGAATACAACGTACGTACACCCGAAAAAAGGATGGCTGTCAAAATCTACGGTATCTTCCTAGATATTTACAGCACCACGCGAGTTATCGTCTCGACGTTTTCTCTTGCCACTGCACAATCATCAGTTTCGGTGTTTGCAAATCATCGACGGAAGACAGGGTTACATTCCTTGCCACTGAACCACTAATCAACAACCAGAAGCGAACGATCCAACGAACGATCTTCCGACGCAATAATGAAAGGCCTGGCAGTTTTGATTCCACTGTTGCCAATTCTGGCTTCCGGCTTTGGTTCGCAGTCGACAAGAATCGGAACGGGGGGTGTCGGCCGGCTGTCTATCCACCGATCGGTCGCACTCTTCTCGTCGGTCGACGAAGACGAGGAAAACTGGTTGGACTATCTCAAGTGGGGAGGCCAAGAGCCCGGCTTCGACGTCCTGGAACGGGCCAAGGAATTCACGTCGGAGCCCGCCTTTCTCGCCTTTCGCCTGAGGGACATCCCGGAGGACTATTACTCCGAGGACTACGTCTTTCGGGGACCCGTCGTCGGTCCGATCAACCGCAGGGATCTGGTAGAAACCAACGCCGCCTTCCTTCTCAACGAGGCTTTTCCGGACCTGCAGCGGAATCCCTTTGGTCACTGCATCGATCCGGAGAATCCCTTCCGGGTCCTGTATTTCGATCGGTGGAAGGGGACCAACACCGGGGAACTCAAAATGTTTTTTCTCCCACCGACCAACAAGAAGTCGATCTCACCGGTCACGCCCTTTTCCGTCACCTTTGCGCCGGACGGAAAGGTCATCTACGAGACGGTGACGACGGCCGTCGATCGGTTCGAGGGGAACACCAAGGGTAAGGTTGCCGTCTTTGGGTTGCTGGAAACCGCCGGCATCCCCCTCGACAACAGCATCGGGAATCCCCTGCTGATCTTCTCTCAGAAGCTGAACCGCTTCCTGGGCCTCATGACGGCCCAGACGCAATCCAAGGCCGAGAACGTCCCCTCGTGGTGGAAATCCAGGGCGGTCGGGGCAGAACCGAACGACCGGTAGTAAAAAAACACTAAAAGACGAACGGTCGAATAAACGAATAAAGGATCCACAGAAGTGATTGCTCATTTCTCTTTGCAAAGATAAGCAATAAGAAAAATTTTCTCACATGAATCCACGACTAGACCTCCAGCTTGGTCTCTACTGGTAATAGTAGTAGTAGTAGTACTAGTACTAGTACTAGTACTAGTACTAGTAGTACTAGTACTAGTACTAGTACTAGTACTAGTAGTAGTAGTAGTAGTAGTAGTAGTAGTAGTAGTAGTAGTAGTAGTTCTTTGCCCCTTGCTGATCAACTGGTGACTAACAAGCAGCTTGTGGTATGCTGGCCTACCATGGTGTCCGCGAAGACGATGGCTACTACTACTAGTACTATTACAGTAGTAGAACTTGTACTAGTCTGCTTCCAATAGCTCCAACAACAAGAAGAACAAGGAGTTCTAGTAGTATGAATATTTAGGAGAAGTAGTACTAGTACTAGAGCTTCTTGTTCTTCTTGTAGTAAAATAGGAGTACTAGTACGTACCAGCAAATTCTACAATATTGTAAAAGTCAAAAGTACTTCTGCTAGTAGAAGTCGTAGCAGTGTTTTTTTGGGTAAAATCGATTGTCCTAATACAATTTCCCGTGCACTCCGTTGCCGGGAACCATCGGTCTGCGATGCCACAAGCTCGAAATTGGATCGGGACGTCCGGGACGTGCTTTTTGAAACGGGAGGAGAACGAGTGTTTGTTGGGGTCACAGCGACAGCTAGTTACACGGCTTGAAACCGGGACAACCCTCGAACCAAACAACCGAACCCATCGGCTCGGATCGGAAGACATCGGAACCAAAACAGCGACGAGCCTCGCGTTGCGAAGCGAAGAGAAGAGAAGAAAGGACGGCCACGATACACAAAGTACACACACAATCGCCATGGCAACACCACCGACCGACCCTTCCGCGGCACCCGGGAGCGATGCGGGCCGGCGAGGGCCACCGCAGCCGCAGCCGCCCGGAGACGAATCCCTGGCCGACGCCTTTGTCCGGGCCTTCGACAAGCAGCGGCCGACGCTGGCGGGCTTTGCCCGGTGTTCGAACCTGGACGAGCTGCGCATCGTGAGGGACGGCTTCTACCTGGGCATGGCCAAGGACCTCTGCCCCGAGGAGTACAAGAGGCTGGTGGTGGTGGTGCTGGAGCGGAGGTTCGCGGGCGGTGGTGGTGGCGGCGGCGGTGTGGATACCGGGATCGTGGAAGGGGGAAACCACGGAATGCTGTCCATGTCCTTTGAAGAAATGGTGCTGGCGGCCCGGGCGTGCGACGAGGAGGAGGAGGACGACGACGACGAGAACCACGGAGACCACAGCGAGAAACAAAAGAACCAAACCGAAACCGACGCCACCAACGAGCCACCAGAAACAGAACCAGAAGAAGAACCACGGCGGAAGCGGCACGATCCGGCCACCGCGGCGAGCCCGGCCGCGAAGGATCCCCCGGACGACCGCCGGCGGAAGCGGTGCTGGAAGGACCTGCTGGAGTCCCTGTTCGCGGTCGCGGAAGCGGTCGGATCGGATCTGGCCTCGATCTGGGGGGGGCTCGAGAACGGCCGGCTCCGCTGGCTGGCGGCCGTGGCCGCGGCCCACCCCCTCAAGGCCGTCCTGAAGGAGGCCCTGGCGCTGGAGGAGGACGCGAGCCAGGGGGAGGCGCTGATGGTCTGGATCTACGCCCTCTGCGTCCACCTATCGGCGAACGTGGACGCCGGACCGGAACCCGGCGATCCCTCCGGCCTGGCGGGGGCGGTGGAAGACTGGGTGGTGGCCGTGGAGATGAAGGACCCGGTCCGGCCCCTCGAGGGGTTCCGGTCCGAGCTGTGGGACCCGGCGCGGGACGAGTGGAGGCCCCTCGACGTCGGCGCCCAGGAGGCCGCCGAGAAGGGCGGGGCCGACCTCCTGGAGGCCTGGGGGGCCTGAGGAGGTTGGGTTGGCCGCGGGGGCTTCCGGGAGCGACCGAGGGGGGGCCGGCGAAACCGCGGCGCGTGTGCCGAAACGAACGAACGAACGAACGACCGCAGGCGACGCCCTAAACCACCCTAACACTACTACGGCTAAGTACTCGTACTCCATTGCACAGCATGGGTGCCATTATCGTATCGTATCGTATCCTATCGTATCGTATAACATAGTGGCCTTCCGCTCAAATTGGCGGCAGCGAACTGCTGCCGCATTGCCGTCGTCCGTGCGTGCGTGCCACGGTGGGTATGGTGCCGGGTGGCTTTGTTCTGGTGTGGCGTGGTTCTGCTCTGCGTGTGGCTTTGCCGCGTCCGGGCCTGCGCCTACCGTTGCTTGCCCGAGGCCTGCTCTTCCCGCAGGATCCTGGCAATCGTCTGGAGCTGCATGTTGGTCGTTCCCTCGTAGATCGACCCGACCTTGCAATCCCGGTAGAACTTCTCCGCGGGCAGGTCCCTCGTAAAGCCGATGCCCCCCAGCCACTCGATGGTCTTGCTGGCGGCCTTTTCCGCCACCCTGCTGCAGGCGAGCTTGGCCATGCTGGCCTCCTTGGCAAAGGATCTGCCGCTGCTTCTGCCACCGCTGGGGTCCCCGGAGCGCTCCCGGAGGCGGCAGGCGTTGTAGGCCAGGAGCTCGGCCGCGTGGACCTCCGTGGCCATTTCCGCGTACTGGTGCTCCATGCCCTGGAACTCCGCGATGGGCCTGCCGAACTGCTCCCGGTCCATCATGTGGGGGAGGGCCAGGTCGTAGAGGCAGGCCTTGGCGATCCCGAGCTGCTGGGAAGCGATCCCGATCCGCCCCTCGTTGAGAACCCCGATGCAGATCTTGTAGCCCTCCCCGACGGTTCCCAGGACGCTCGAGGCCGGGACCCTTACGTTTTCCAGGTGGACGGGGCAGGTCGAGCTGGCCCGGAGGCCCAGCTTGCGCTCGGGTTGTCCCACGGTGATGGTCCCGTTGCCGTCGTCGTCGTCGCTGCCGTTTCCGTTCCCGTGCCGTTCCCGGTCCACCAAAAAGGCCGTGACGCCCCTGTGGCCCAGGGAGCGATCGACCGTCGCAAAGACCAGCAGGAGCCGGGCCTCCCTCGCGTTGGAGATCCAGAGCTTGCTCCCGTTGAGGACAAAGGAGGACCCGTCGGTCGAGGAAGACGCCGTCGCGGTGGTGGCCAGGGCAAAGGCGTCGGAGCCCGCGGCCTGCTCGCTCAGGCAAAAGGCCGAGAGGCAGCCCCCCCCCGCCAGGCGGGGAAGCCACTCCTCCCTCTGCGAAGGGGTCCCCCAGAAGCGGAGGGCCGTGTTGACGAGGGTGTTCTGGATGTCCACCACCACCGCCACCGAGGGGTCGACCCGGGCGATCTCCTCGATGGCCAGGCAGGCGGCCGTGAAGGACAGGCCCGATCCGCCGAGGTCTTGGGGGACCTCCATGCCCATAAAGCCCTGGTCGAAGAGGTCCTCGAGGACCAGCGGGTCGATGGCCGAGGCCTCGTCCATGCTTCGGACCGAGGGGGCCAGGACGTCCCTGGACCAGGCCCGGGCGGCCTCCCGGGCCAGGACCTCGTCCTCGGTGAAGGACTCGGTGATGGGGAGGGGGGGAGCCGCGGGTGAAGGCGAAGGCGAAGGATCGAATGCAAATGCGGATGCGGATGCGGATGCGGACGCGGAGGCGGATCCGGAACCGAACGCCAATGGGGAGGGGTCCCTTGCGGCCCCTTGCCCGACGCTTCGGCCACCGGTCGAGAAGAAGGCGCCCTTCCGGCCAGGGGGGGCTTTCGCCGCAACCGCGAAAGGTCCCCGCCCGGGAACCCCTCGGTTTCCACGCAAGGCCCGGGACGAAACGGCGTCCCCGAACCCCTTGCGCAGGCGGGGGGCGAACGAGGAGGTGCCCCGCGGGCCGAACGGAGGCATGGGTGCTCTGGGTTGGCTTGTGATGTGCGGCGGCAGCAATGGCAGTAGCACTGGGAGTGGCACTGGCACTGGGAGGAGGTAGTAGTGTGGCGCCCGTGTCGATGGGGGATGCCGTTGCTGGGGCGGGGGGGGTCCGTCGACATCGAAACCGGGTTGGCAGAAAAGAATTCTTTCGGACCGGTCGTGCCGTACAGTACGGTAGGTTCGTACCGTGCGTACGAGTACGAGTACGAGTCGTGTACCGGCTGCTGTGCTTGCATCGCTTCGCTTTCTTTCTTTCATGCGGGCAGAAGAATCTACCCGTACGTACGTATCGTACGTGCGGCATCCATTGCATTGCGATCAATGATCAATCCCAAAAAAAGAAAACGGTGACACGATGTTTCTCACAAAAAATTCGCATCAATTTCAATTCAATCGTGATCTCTCTTCGGCGGATACGTACATACGTACTCGTATCTGGTAATCGTACAATGCTACAAGGTACTACTAATAGTATGTATCATACGAGAAGTACCTTGGTGCTATATGTACGGTACTTCTACTGAAAAACCTCTCAAGTTGTACGTACAGCACGGAGTACGGTACATACTGCTAATACGGTATGATACATACATGCCATGTGAACAAAGAACATTGGTGCAGAGAAAGGAATGATCCTACGTACCCTACCGTACAATACTACCTTTGTCGTTCCTATTGCCAACCGTACGGCACTGCTTCGCCACCATGCTGTAGCCTTGTGCAAGTCTTCCAAAGATTCCTTCCGTTCCTTGGTGTCGCTACGCGGTGGCCAATGCCGATGCCGATGCCAATGCTGGTGCTTCCACCCCGCAGTCCCCGGCCTCCGCCGAAGGCGCCCTTGCCCGGCCCAGCCGCTCCATGTGGGCCTCCGAGAGCTCGAAATCAAAGATCTCCCGGTTGGACAGGACGTGCGCCATCGTGTTGCTCTTGGGAACCACGGGGATGCCCTGCTGCACGATGTAGCGGAGGGCCACCTGGCTCCCAACGACGGGCTTTCCGGCCCCGGGCGTCGTCGCGTTCCCGTGCTGGTAGGCCCCCGCCACCTCCTGCACCAGGTCCCCGTTCACCAGGGAATCTTCCGGCTCGTACGAGCACGGGCCGCAGAGGGGCGAAAAGGACATAAAGGTGATCCCAAAGTCGGAGCAGGTCTCCATCACGCCGTCGACGTCCCCCGAGCCGACGTGGTATTCCACCTGGTTGAGGGCCGGCGTCACGGTGGCCACCCACAGCACGTCGAGGATGTGCCTGCTGCAGTAGTGGCTGATCCCGATGGTTTGCGCCTCGCCCGTGTGGTAGATCGTCTCCAGTGCGAGCCATTCTTCCTGCCGGGCCTCGGCCCCCACGATGGTTTCCTCCCAGTCGGCCGGGAAGTGGGTCATGAGGTGGTCGACGTAGTCCAGGCCCAGTTCTTCCAGGTTGGTCTCGTGCAGCCGCTGGACCTCCGACGCGTTCCGGCCCCCTGCGTTGTGTTGTGTTGCGTTGCATCGCGTTGCATTCGGTACGGCACGGTACGTGTGGTCCCGACCAAAGGCATTCGTGCCGTGTGAGCGGTACAAAAGAAGAACTGCGTGAGCGGAACCCGTTCGAGAGAACAACCCACGAACCGGAGGATCGCGGCGCAACCCCGGTCCGGTCGGTTTGGCCCCGAACCTGCTCTTGTTCGGTCGAAACCGTGCTCTGTTCTGTTCTGTGTTACTCACCGGGAATTTTCGTCAGGACAAAGAGGTCTTCTCGGTTGCCCTTCCAGCAATCCCTGATGGCCCTCCCGACCCCCTTCTGGTTTTTGTACCCGTAGGCCGTGTCCACAAAGGTGTAGCCGGCACCGAATGCCTTGCACAATGATTCGTAGGCCTCGTCGTCGTCGTACTGCCAGGTTCCGGCTCCGAGCAGGGGCATGTACACCGGATCTCCGGTCGCATTGACCCCGATGAACTTCGTGGGGGCGTCCTGCTTCGGAAGGTGCTCTCTGTCCAAGGGGACCCCCTTCGCCGGCGGGCCTTCGGGGGACGCCGAAACCGAAACGAGGAGGAGGAAGGACGCGATGCCAGCGGCACGCAGCACGATACGGTTGAAATTGAAATTGTCACGAAACATTGTGGTCCTTCCGGGGATGGCTCTGCTCCCGTCGACGGGCTCGTTTCTGACACTCTATCGGATGCGGTGGTGGTGGTTTGTGTTGGTGTTTGGGTTTGCCACGGTCAGGGTACGACTAGCGCACGGGAACTCGGCTGTCAATGCTGGTTGCACCGTGGGAACTTCTGTTCTGTCGAAAAAAGAAACTCGGCAAAATACTGTACAGTATTATTTTGAAGGAACCGAACGTACTTTGCACTACAACCTCCTAACGGTACTGTGCCGTACGGTAGCGTAGGGTTGTGAGCCTAAATTACAAATTACCATATTGTTTGATGTCATACCGGTACGTAAAACGTTACGCACCTTACTGTACGTACTCGTACGTGCGTATGTAAGGTACGATACCTGGTGGGAAGAGTTTTTCCATTTTTCTTCATGTTCTGTGACCTGTGACAACAATAAACCCAACATGAAGTATTCTACGCGCAGGTTCGTACTACGACTAGTTATGGTACAGAAGCTTTGATGTGTGAAGTAAATTCCCCCTTTGGCTTATTACTGAAAGAAATGGGTTGGGAAATTGACTACGGTACAGTAATATTATTATGATGACGAAAAAAAGAACGTACCCCCTAGCTTCATGTTGACCAGTGATGCTCGTGATCTGACATCGCCACGGCTACTCTAAATCGTCGTTCTTCTTTGCTGCTCTTCTATCAGTCCCTTGGCAAGGTGGCTGTATTTTCCATCTTGAAATCCAGGCAGACACTCCAGCAACGTAGTCGCTGAAAATTCTTCTTCTCGCCACTGGTGCATTTCGTGTTTCTCTTCGATTCCGTTTCCCTCCGCCTCGTCGTGCCGGCCGTGTCCAAAGAGACCTCCTGCACCTCCCCTGCGAAAGATGCTCCTCGGTCTTCGGAAAATACCCCGGCTCAGTTTCAAAGATTCTTTGTTCATCGCCAGCCTAGATTCGGGTATTGGTGCTCCAGGGACGTTCACTTTGGTCCGGAGAATTTCTTCCTCGACTGGCGAGAGAGAAGACAGTTTTCCGGTTTCCTCTGTTTTGATTTCGTCATCCCCGGATGATGGGAAAAGCATCTCGGCAACCTTGCTTCCTTCGAGGTTCTCGAGACCGACAATATCTTTCAAAGAATCAAATGCCGTCATGAAACCATCTCGCACGGCTTCCAAAACTTCATCCTTGTCCTGAGATAGAGCTTCCAATTCTTTGTAACCCTTCGGAACTCGCAACGGGAAAAGATGTGCCTTGTTCCAGCTATTGTCACGATCCCTAATGTTCTTAGAGATTTCATTCGTCCGTGGTACCCCGTAAAGAATTTCTGGGGGAGGAACAAGGATTCCTTCACTCCCCTTATGCCTGGCCTCCTGCAGAAGCATCAAGTCCTCGGCGTAGATATATTGTTGGCCTCCCTTTTCGAAAAATTCTGCTACACCTTTCTGGCCGTGGGAATGGAAATAGAGGGGGGCAACACCAGATTCGTATACAGTCGGCTGCGTCAACGGAACGAAGTCTTCGGGTCGAGTGGTAAGCACCAATACGTGCGTAGCTCCCTCTTCAACGGCCGACCGATAGGGAATCGGTTCAAAACAAAAGGCATCAAAGCATGGAAGGGGATCTTCGGACGCTTCGTTCTTGCGAACGAGGTTTATTGGTGGACCGGTAGCACCCTATTAGTCGAAAGCATACCAAAAATCATCGTTAGTGTTATTTGCATATGAAGTGCGAGTGCAATGGATGTCATTTGAAAATCCTTTTCAACGATTCATGCGAAGAGCCTCGTCGTCTTTTGATCTTTATTGATCCTTTCATCGATTCGAAGCAATAGCATACAATAGTCCAGACTACATCACACTCCAGCCAAAATTGACAGGAAAGAAATCAATCAAACTTACCGGCACCGTCATAGAGGCTTGGAGACAGGCGAATAGTCCTTGGCGCTTGCGGTCGGGACTAGTGAGGCTTTCGTCCTTGCAAAAGAACTCCTTGCTGCCAAAACATTTCGACAAGAGCTTCCCCGTCGCCGGATCGACGCAAGAAGACACCACCCTCAGCTTTTGTTTTTCGCTGTTCTCGCGAAAGGCTTGCACGTCCAGCGGGCGCAGGCCGTGGTCGTCGCCCATGATCCCGTCCAATACAAAGGAAATGTTCATGCCAGGTTGCGTCTGGAGCAGCCGTTCCCGAAGCGTTTTTGGTAACGGCGACGGCGGTGACAGAGTCGAGGAGGAGATGAAATCGATCTTTTGTTTCCCGTTACCAGTCTTTCTGGAGTTCCTTTTGCCAAGCATCTGGGTCAGCCCCAGCGAGGCCAAGTTGGCGACCATGCGTTTCTTGCACACAAAGAGTTTTTTTGAGGCCGGTAAAATGTCCACGTACACGTCCAAGCAAACCTGACGGCTCACCATGTACGCGCCGACCACCGATCCGGCGGAACTTCCATAAATGGAGTCGACGGTGTCAGACAAGCCCAGTGCCGTAAGTGCAGCGACCATTCCGGCCGAAACGCAACCACGCATACCGCCTCCCTCGATAGCGAGTGCCAGGGTGGCCTTGTCTTCTGGAAGACGGTGTCCTGGGGTAGTCCCGTTGACGAATCGTTCCTTGATAAGGTCCCGAACAGCATGGTCCAGGACCGGTGGCACGCCTTTTCCTGCGGTTGTCTGAGCGGCATCAACGTTGCTCTGGGATTTGGCTTCGACAATGGTTGTATCACTGAGTCTCAACTGTTGATCTAGTATCGCGTGTCGGAGTTCTTCCACCGTTTCGACCTGAAGGGGTTTTGGTTTCTTCTTTCCCGCTAATGACGGCAAATACGGCGTGTATCGTGGTCGTTTCCTGGTCAGCTGTTGGTGTTGTCCCTGGGTTTCCTCCCGAATGGCACGAATCCGAGCTCCGATCTCCGCTTTTCGCATGGCTTTGTCACTGTTTTCCTCGTCCACAGTCTCTGTGGACATCGGAGTCTCCGGTTCGCTGGACACATCCTCGTCCACAAGGATAACGATGCCATCGCCATCGTTTCGATAGCCCCGTCTCGTTCGCGAAAAGATTCTCTTGCGAACCTGTTGGAATTTTCTGCGCTTTCGTCCGGAGGGGACGGCTTCCATCATCACAGGGGAAGGCGATGGTGACAACGACGAAGAGGAAGAAGAAGAGATTGAACGCCGCGACAAGGACAACACGGAGGGCGAGAACATCGTCGTCGATGTCGTCCCAGACTCGACTCTGGTGGAAACAGAATGCTTGCGAAATGAAAACAGGCCAAGACGAAAGGCAGAACCAAACGCGAGAGACCAAATGCACCCGAGCAGGAAGGACCATACGTGAAAAGAAGGGGATCTGTTGCTCATGATGCCTGTAAACCTTTTTCTACGCAGACCGCTTTTTTTCTGCCTGGAATCGTTCTTCGTCGCAGTTTGACAAATGTCCAAGTCATTGGCGATAGCCCCTTGATCGGCTAGCGAAATAACTTCGTAGTTAATGTGTGATTGTGTCATTTGTTTTATCACGGTTCGTGAGTCAATCGTACGAGTTTGTCGGATCACGGTGGTAAATGATGTGCTGTCTCGTATGGCAGGTCCGAATTAGAATTGTGATCCAATTGCAAGATTCGTTTCGATTGGGATTGTACAGGATGCTTTGGGGTGCGAAAGATTCTAGGGTATTTCTTTTCCGTTTTGATGGGTACAGTACTCGTATCAATCAACGACTTGACATCTATCGTGCAGCGTCCACCAGTTTGTTGTTGATTCGAGATTCTTTTAGTGGTCTTGACAGATTCGTCAAAACTCGAAATTCCTACATCATCACTCGGTAGTTGCTGCTTTTTCGTGAACGGTACCAACGTGAGAAAACGGCATGGCTAAATATTTCGCTGAAAACGTTGTCGCCTTCATATTTCGTTGTGAGAAGGCGCGGTATTCTAATTTCACAAAATCGTGGTCACTACTACGGGAACACCATTTTGCGCGCGAAGGAACAAACACATGTCCCGAAACTTCAGGGGAGAAAGAACGAGTTTCTCTCGAAAATTGAGCTCTGAATCATCCTGTCACACCAGCAAAGCAAGACGCATTTGCAATCGTATTCGCGGATTGACCAATCAAAATAATTTGAAAATAATCGTTGTCATCCGGGGTTGGTCCATGACAGAATTTATCGCTGTTTTTCCTACCGTCCTCATCGCTCTCTCAGAAAAACATCAAATCCTACCCGTAGTACTACAGAATACAATAGCGTACCGTACGTAGTGCCGCTACTGGCCAAAAGTGTGTTCAGAGACAGCTTTCTTCCACCGATTTACTACTGTACCTATTGGGTGATTCCCGTTATTCTAAATCTCTAAAACTCTAAATCTAGGGATCTAGAATAACGGGAATCAAGACATTCAACGGACAGACTGAGAATTGCCGACTCGATGCCAGTCTTTCATGGAATTTGGAAACTTAAGTATTTTTCAACGTAAAGACTAAAAAGACTTACTAAACACGCACGCTTGGAAGGAGAACACCTTTGTCAACACCAGTGTGTTTGTCTTTGGACCAGATGGTAGGGTAAGGATCTCAGTCTTCAACTGTCCAGGAGCTTGGCACAACAACAGTGCCATTGCCAACCATGGCGTCTATGACAGGATTGAGCAGGTCCACGCCGACCAGTCCGATGGAAAGACTGTGAAGGGAGCAGCATATCCTCATCAAGAGCTCACAGCATGATCCAGAGGATGAATCACTCCTTCTTATCAATAGGGATGCAACATCCTTGAGATAAATGTCAGAGTGGGGAATGAGGATGATTCAAGGACAGTTTCCAAGAATCAAAGACAGGATGTTCTTGGAGGAGCATGGAGATCAGAAGATCATCATGAACTTGTTGATTAACTTGTACAACTACCAATGCAGCAATGTCGGGCACAACCAGATCCTATCAACCTTCATGAGGACGCTGGCAGCAACTGCCAACAAATCATACAAGAAGCATGATCTTGCAAAGGGTTTCTTCAAAATGGGACACGATATTTCCCCCCACGGAAACAATGTGTTCGGGTGAATCCCATGGTCGATTCCTTTGTTGGTTGGTTACTGAAAGAAAGAAAGATTAAAAGAAAGAAAGAAAGAAAGATTAACAACGAATTAGCAACAAKGTTTGGAACTCAACTGTAATTAGCAGTAATTAGCAAAGCAAAATAGCCAACAGGAATACAAGCAGCACATGCAATGACACACTTACTGTTTGAACACCACGTCTACCCTCATCACCATGGTCAAACTAAATTGGTTTGATTCGTTAACCAGAGTTGAATTAGCAGTATTCAATAGATGAAGTATGGGGGGGGGAAGCAAGCATGCTTTACAAGCAGCGAGCTGTACAGCAGGTTGCTGCTAGCTGCTGTTTTCGCGTTTGCAGTTTTTATGTATACTCCCCTGGAGCCTGCTGCCATGTTCCCTAATACACTCCAATGCAGCAATAGATATCGATCTATACTGTAATGAATATCAGTTCCTTGTTATACCACAACGAAGATAACTTTATGATACAGGTCATGTGCAAGCCAATTGGGGCTGCATGTGAACCATTTTTGTGGGAATAAGCTTGTGCAGAATTACCAAGAAACAGTTTCTAATCTGGCATTGGTATGCACAAAAACCTATATGGAAAAAGGGAAGGAATAAGTACAATCAGTACAATCATCTACTGCTGCAGCGCGATATACTGAATATGGTTGATATATTTGTACTGCTAATGATCAGCTCATTATCTTCATTTGGATCCTTTGAATTAGTGTTGAATACTAGTTAGTATTGTTAGTGTTTGTTGCGAGTATTGTTATTGCTTGGGGGGCAATGGTGTCAGTCGTTTTTGCCGTCCTTGGATTCCCTTTCGTTTTGCTGTCCTTGGATTCCCTGTTGTTTTGAGGGCGTTTGGCGCTGTCAACTGGTTGGTAAGCATTGTTGTTGGCATTCTGGGTGCTTTGCCATTGCTGAAAGCAAGCCATTGCCATACCAAACGCATCCTTCCACATCTGGTTGGTCTCTTTTGCAATTTGGCTTGCCTCCTTTGCGATCACAGAGGTATCCTTTGCAATCTTAGACTGCTCTAAAGCAAACTCACGGTTTTCCTTGTCCCTTTCTTGCTGGCTCTTCAAATACTCATTGAACACAGAGGCATCCGGAACTTTTGAATATGGTCTCTTAGTACTGGGAGTACTAGTAGATGACTGTACTCTGGATGGCCTCATAATGGACGAGTTGATGCTTGATCCATCACCATCTGCAAGGACAATTGGAGCTCTTCCTTGCTGCACTTCAGCAGAGGGGATCCTCTCCAAACCCTCCACATCCTCACTCTTAACAAAGCCTTTCTTCATATCAAAGTCCTCCTCTCCAGTGCCAATATTTGCTTTCTTTCCAATCAAGTAATGGGCCTTCCTTGCAAGCTTAATGTACCTAGGCATGTTTGGGTTACCAGTCGAGCTTCTCCTTCTTTTGATGGAACTATACTTGTACCAAATGGATTTCTTCTTTGCAGCATGATTGGTGACAACAGTATTCCACTGTTCTGAGTCGATCGGGAGTACCTCCACTATCACCTCCATGAGGCTCTACAGTTCTGCTTCAGAGTAGTTCACAGTACCATTTTGACGCCCATTGTTGCCGTTGGGGTTGGCGTTTGCTTCCATCTTAACAATAATAACACGGGGATTGGATAACAATGAGCTGTCTCTTTGTTGTCGACGGCCTCCTCTTCTTCCTCTCTTTCATGCAACAAAGAGAGGAAATAGAATGTAGCAACTACAAGGCCAGCGGTGGGGACATGATTTGTTTGTATGGTGTAAGCACCTTTTTGTCATTGTTAACAGCAGAGGAGGCGCCATGGTCTAGAGAGGCGCCTCGTTGTTGTTGTTGCTTAGAACAACAGAGTCTTAATTTTCTTGAAATCAGTCATATTTTGGCGGGCCTTTCTGTTGAGTCTTTCAAGACTGGAAATTTTTATTTGTGGGTTCCACTCTAAATCTAGAGATTTAGGACCGGTCAAACCAACCGGTCCTAAATGTGCTAAATCTAGAGTCCAAAACTCAAAATTCTGATAGACTGACAGACCAAAAATTTAGAGATCTAGAATAACGGGAATCACCCATTATGATTTGCACACATATTGCTGCCCATATGCAAATATCTGGTCCTTATCCTTGGAACATATTCTTGAACCACTCATTTCTCATGAAGAGTTCAAAGAAGCTCGTTGTTGTCATACTAGTAGTAGTACTAGTAGTAGTACTAGTAGTAGTACTAGTAATAGTACTAGTAATAGTACTAGTAGTAGTCATTTCCAATTTTTATTTGAAGCATTTTTTGCTTCTCTATTTGATGACAAATTGTCTTCATTATTTGACAAGTAACTCATGTTGTCACAAAACTCCTATTTGACTGCCTTTATTCCTCCTCTAGTTGGTTTCAAAATCTTCTGTCCTCTTGCCAATTCTCTGCCGCATAGTATTGACAGCAACCTTTCCTCTACTGGTGGTGGTGGTGGTGCCAATTTTTTCACAGCAGTTCAGCAATTCTATCTAATCTGAAGAGAAAATCTTGTTGCATACATTTTGGTATCACTGTTGTCACTCTTTTTGGTATCTGTAATGTGCCATTATTATTTTTACTGTAGTACTTTAGTTTGCTATTCATACTGGTCCTCATATCTTTGACCTTAGTTCATTTAAGATCTCATTGTCCTCCCAATATTTTTTTATCAATTTTTCCTTTTTGTGCAATGTTCTTTTACTTCTATCCTCCTTGTCCTCTCCATTTTCTCTTCTGTACATTGCCCTTAGTGTTTGTTCAATCTCTCCTGCCAAAGTATCCTGCCTCTGCTAAAGTATCCTGCCTCTGCTCTTTGCTTCCTCATTACTTCTTTGACTAACCTTCCAAACAGCATTCATCCCTGTTAGCTCCAGTCCTCTTTGTTACCAATCCTGCTGTCAGTGAATTGTTTTCTGGTTTTCTTTCCACTCCCAGAATTATTCCATGATTCATAATCATTGTACAAAAAGAGTAGTGCAAAAGCTTTGTCAGTTGCAGTGAAAATGGTTCTCAGTTTATCTTTGTGTCACCTTTGCTTGAATTCAGTTAATTTAGGAGACACTGCCCCTAAAAGTCTTGTTACAAAGTATTTGAATTCCAGAGTATTTTTTCTTGTCTGTAGCTACTTCTCAGTACATATGCCTTTCCTCCGTCTCCTTCTGCTATGAAGCAATTGGTGCTGAATAATTCCAGTACTACTTTGTCTCTTTTGTTGTCTGTACAAAAGAAGCAGAGATTGATGGTTGTGAGACACAAACAAGCTCACTCATGTCAGACATAGTGCCTAGTATATTTTCTTTGGTTTTGCTTACCCTTGTAATTTTTCCTTGCCAATGTTTGTGCATTGTGTCTGCAAGCAGTGATCATACTGTT